GTGATTAACAAGAATAGGTTAAGGACAGAATGCCAAACACTTGCACATCCAAGAAATACTACATAGTCAAGGAAAAAGGAAATACTGCCACAAGTATAAAAATAAAAGCATAGAAATGAATGACATAAGTTGTTCATTCCAAGAAACACCCTACATTGCACTTGGTAGAAAAACAAATTTGTAGAAACAATCAAAACTACTGGTTATTAGTAAGTAGTGCGAAGTACTATAAGAAAGTAATATGAACGAAATAAAGCACTTGGAATTGTTTCAACCTTATCAACCGATATCTGTACTAAGAACTCATATAAAGAAACGGAAAATCACAAAGAAAATATGAAGGTTTATTAAGTTCGTATACGTTTTCTGTTGCTAAATATCCTACTTTATCCATAAGCTCTACATGATTTCAGACTATCACAAAATTTTAAAAGTTAGGACGAATCGAACTGTGATAAATGTATTCAATAAAACTTGCATATAAACTTTTATCCCCTTAGTTCAAAGCTGTAGAGAAAATAGTAAAGATATATGATGAAAGAACAACTCTATTCAAAACTAAGAACACCATAAAGAAAAGAAAATGAATAGCTTTGTGTACATTTCATTCCTTTAGATATATAAATGTTCCACAAACTATGCAACTAATTCAAAGCACTTTTATGTAAACGTTAACCAAGTTTTTTAACGTAGAAGCAAATGCATAAAAAACACAGGATGTATTTGAAGGCGTTCATCATCAAAAAGCATTTCTACAACCTTAGTGAAAATGATGATTCTTCCCAGAACTAACTCTGCTTCAATTAGAAAAGTTTCATATGTTCTTGTTATAATTGAAACAAGACCGACAGTGAATGAAATCTAACATACCAGTTGCGTCTTTATTCTATGATAAGCCAAAACGACATAAGATAAACGTTTCGCTAAAGCCAATTGTTTCACTTCATGGAACCTTAACATCTAATCTACTAAGGAAAATTAAAAGAACATTTAGAAAACTGGTGGACAAATGACATGTGCGATGGTGGCTAGGATGAGTTAGCTAAAGGAAATCTAGATGTATGTGGCATTGGCTCATGAACCAAGGGACTTCTAGTTTGAGCACTATAGAGATGTGAGTACTCCCTAACTGGGGTCCACGTGATTATAATTAGAGATAATTAGAGACCTACGGTGATATGATACAAAAACGCATAGCGAGAGAAACCCGCCCATTATTTCCCAACTATTAAACCTTAGTATCATCCCATACTTTTTTAACCGATTTAACCAATTTTTCAAACTATTTTTCTTAGGCTTACTTTTAGTATTGTGAATTTTCCTCGTTTATGCCACTGTGGAGCGTTAGAACTTGAACTGATACTTACCTGTAGCAGGCCTCATGTCGTTTGATAACTGATTTAGTTGTCTAGCTTTCGGATTGCCAGTGAAAATGGTTGCTTTTTCGTTCACTTTATGTAAACTCGTACGCCTATACCGTAGGACATTATTTCAGGATACTTATTCGTAATTGTTACCACAGAATAAGAAAATAGGAACCTTTGGTTGTAATTTACTTGAACTAGGAACCGTAATCAGGATTAAAATGGAGAAATGCGAGTTTACCAGGTCTTCTTTGTCAATTCCAAGAGTACTTGGAAAGTTATAAACTCTGATGTACCATAAGAAAGAATACCTAGACTCCACTGCTAGCTACAGTCCATCTATTATATATGAACTTGTGAAATAATGGCTATATCAAAACAATACACATATGTCAACAAAGATTGACTAAATTTTAATCAAAATATCAACAACCTGATAATCCAAACCCTTTCAAACTAAACTAAGGCTAACTTTCGCCTTCCCTTGTTAGTATATTTTGTCAAGGTTTGCTAACCATAAAAAAGAAAGTCGGGTTTAATTTAATTTGAAACGGTTGGAGATTCGTGACCGGGGGCTTATGCGCCACGAAGGGTGACAAGCGTAAGAAACTTTATCTGGGCTGGGATTGAAATAGGTTGAAACTGTTCTATCCACAAGCATCAGGTTGTTATCTGAATGATGGGTTCAAAAAACAACTAATCTAATATTTAGCACCTACGAATTTTATCTTTACAAAATCAACAAATGTGACTATGTAAGTTGAAATATTCGAGCCCATAGCATTCATATCTCGGTGTAATTACGGAGACCAGCTACAGATTTAGTTACTCAATATTTTAGTAAAAACGATGATCTACTGGTAAACGTACTATATACTTACATCCTTGAACTAACCAATCAGGATTAAACTCTCTATTTAAAGAGGACAGTAGTATCTGTCCTCGTCGAGTGAATCTTTTAGTGTAAACGCTTCATTATATTTATTTTAGTTGGAGTTTCAGCGACATTAACATAGAAATCTTAGCCTTTTGTGTTCAGTGCCTACCACATTCAGAACTTACTAAATACTTATTCCATAAAACAGTTTTTTTGCGCTTATAGAGATTTTTTGTGTTATCTCTGTGAGCTCACCTAACAATTCTAATGGTGAAAACAAAACAAAGTTGTGGTATACCCACGTGCATCTTTCTAGTCGTGGATGAAATAAAATGTGACAGATGCAACAAGGGGTATACCAACGTAGGCCGTGGACTAACACAGGATGTATATAAAAGGTTATGAAAGCTACTATCACATTGGTTGTGCAAAGCATCCCGCTCTACGTAACGAATAACAAACATACAGATGTAGGCATGGTTACAAAAAAAGAAAAAGCATGCTGTGAAGAAACAAATTACAGGGAGGTATGAGATAAGTGGGTCGACATTTTTATCTGTGGACTCACATAGCAACGCAAAACAGACTATGGAGAAACACAGCCGGAGCGGTGCAGGTGATGCGATCAAGAGGCATAACAAGGTCAATGATTGACTTACAGTTACACCCAAAAGAGTATGTAAACAGAGTGAGACCTGTATGTCTGATGCCAAATCGGAGTAGAGGGATGAGGAGAATTTAGGAAACAAAACCTTACAGCTCGTTAAAACGGATATCACTGATAAGTCAGTCATTTTTCATAAGTTGAGAGAACCTTCCGAAAAGGAAACAAAGTCTGTATTTGGACGCGATCTAAGCCACATTAAGCCGTTGATAAGCACGCTACTTCCAGAAACAGTAGAACGAGTTAGCATTTATAAGTTTTATAGAGAAAGATATAAAGTAGATTTTAAAATTACGCAGAAAAGCCGTATCTTAAAAGTTACATTTGCTTCTGCTGAAGAAAGAAACCTAACACTAGAAAATTCAAGCAAACTGACTGGTTCCAGAATATATGTCTGTGAGGATCTTAGCCTGATTAATCTTATTAAGAGACGACCGGCAGAGGTGGAAATAAATAAGCACCGCCGAGATAGTAAAAAGTCCTCATACTTAAGGGTTTTCACATTGTAAAAGATCGAAGCGAAACTATCCCCAAAGCTGTGATATACAATTGCTTGTAGACAACAAAATAAAATGTCAAAACTCAAAACAGTGGTGGACACAGAAAACCTTGATGTCATTGTCATCTCAGGAACATGGTTAACGTCAGAACTGCATAACAGTGAAATCCAATTTCTCGGTTGCTTACTTTGCAGGCCAGATAGACTAAGCCATACGGGTGGCGGGGTTATCCTGCACATGAAAAGCATCTTAACCATACGAGCTGTCGAGAAAATGGCACACGACTTAGGGACATGTGAACTGGTGCGCTACTGGATGAAATAGTCAGTAAGATATTGAATTAGTTGTAGTATACCACAGTCCGGAATGTGTAGTGGATGATTTCCTCCTAGGTAAACTTAAATCCTGATCAAACAGGTGTAAAAGCCTTATAGTATGTGACTTTAATGCATCCTATATAAACTGGAGAAACTTAGAAGTAGGGTCATCAAAAACACCGTTTTATTGAAAATTGTCAGAAACCCTTCAAATGACTCATACAAGAGATTTTACATCCTCAAAAGCTTACCAGAAAAGGCCTTCTGTCCTCAATATACAAATATGGATCTGAATTAAGATAACATCTTAGTTATTTTGCTCACAGGTTAAAGTATAGTGATATATAACGTGTGTGTTATCATTAACTAAGTGAAAATTGGCAAAATTTGGTTCTTAAAATGTTTGAAATCAATGAACAGATTTATTGTTCACTAATAAAGTGTATTACAGATAGTGCTTAAGCTCAATTGCATGACATAATGCTTCTAAGGGAGATTGAGTATCAAAGTACTTAGTGTTATTCATCATGTAGTCAAGAGTGTTAAGTGAAGCTAGAAAATATCTACCCTTTCTTATTCTTACTCTAAATCTCAAGCCCAAGTTCCTGTAGTTTGTAAACAGGAAAATGGCAAGGTTATTGTGTTATACTTGATGTCAGTTTGTGTTGAAAACCCAGACCCCAAAATGCCCTGGTATGGCCGAGAGCAAGGTGGGCCCGCCCTCCATCTCTAAATGCTCTCACACGGCCACGCGTATACAGCCTCTGCCAGGGAAGTCCTACTCACTGCCTTCTCGTGGCGGGGGTTGTCTACGAAAATGAGAGGACGAAAAGCGAATGTCCGGCGTTTCAACCGGATCCCAAACCAATGGTGCACATGGGCTCCAGTATCCTGAGGGAACAAATGGCGTATGAACCAATCGCTGGTCACCGGCTACCATGGGACTGCATCGCCTCACGACGCTACACTGCCTTGTGGGTCAGACCTTTAGGTCGGAGGTTCCGGGTGTCGCTCCCTAAGAAAACCACCTGCTTTGGTCCGAGAACCCAGGCAATGTCACAGCCCACACACAAACCAAATGAAGTTTTTGTGTGGCGCATATGTATTTGGTGCCCCTTTGTACTAATATTTATGTGTTCAAACAAATAAATCTATCTTCAAATAAAACAACAAGTGACGTGAAGCAAGTAATGTTTTTCATGTACTTGGATTTTTAGCTGACATCGGAGTACCTTACTAATACTACCGATTCATGTGTGCAACAGAAATGTATTTATTAAAAAGTAACAATTTATTTCATTACAGAGAAATCTGTACATAAATAAGGAATAAAAGCCTTCACCAAAAAACACAGTCATTCACTTCTAGAATGTTTATGCTTTCTTTTTGGGCGTTTATGTAACTTCTTCGATTTGTGTTTTTTCTTATGATGACGGTGATGATGATAGTGATCGGGGGTGGATGATCTACTACTACTACTTTCTGAAGACCCTGTGGTCGAGTGCTTCCTAAGAGGAAAATAAGCAAATAAAATGAACCAAAAATACAAGCTGATTTACCGCTTCGACATTTGTTTCTTCTTTTTCATTTTCTTTTCCTTCTTTGCAGCTAGAATGAAGTAAGAATACAAAAAACAATGAACCACGATAACAAGCTAGGGGTTTTCAAGAGCAGGCTAGCCAAACAACAGTTTGCATTGATGATGGGCACGGATTTATTTGGAAGTAGGCATTTTAAAGTTTTTTTGCAATAATGAAATACAAGTGCTCAGATTTTGAACAAACTAGTTTAAGTGGTTTGACAGTAGCATAAATGCTATAAAACTTGAAAACTGTAGGTTAATACCTTCTTTACGAGGGGATGACTTTACGAAAAAAAATGACAAAAAGCAAACTTCTAGCATTTAAACTGGGTTGGTCAATAGAGGGCCCATTTAGGAGAGTTAAGAAAATCCTAATTCCAAACTGACGATAAACACGAGCTTCATGACCCCGAAGAAATGAATGACGGACGAGCTTACTTTATTTACTGGCTGCCATGGGGCTTCATGCGATGTCGTTGTGAATGAATTTATCTAGCATTGCTTCACATCCTTATTCCGTTTAATTTTTATCCTATGTTATCGAATACAAAATCTGATACAACTTTTCTAACGCTGCGTGTGCCATCCGAACTTGCTTTCGTGAGCGTTTGGAATCTCACGCAGATTGAATAAGGCCGACTAATCATTCCACCAAAAAGTGAAGACTAGCAGTGGAGACGTTTGGATTGCGCTATGAAAATAGTGGGTCGGGTAGCTTGCTTAAAAGTTCATAGAATAATGTAAGAAACTGCTTTACTGAAGTGAATACTGTAATTACCAAAACTACTTCCAAGGATTGTCCAGATATACTGAGGGACTCTATGCATTTCAAACTAGAGGCAAATAACGTTATTTCAAACTATTCTCAAGATGGTTTAAGTAAGAAAAAATCTGCAAATTTACTGCATTTTCGTTTTATCGCTGTACGGTGATTTAAGCCACCTTATTAACCTAATTGGCTGTGAATCAGTGGTTTTAAACCTTGGACAACAATACTTCAAGAAATTGGGACGAAAAATCCCACTGCAATAATCTACTAATCTATCCGTGGTATATGTACTAAATGACGATTGTTTTGTACTGGACTACCCGCTGATTATGAATTCCAAATATAATACGTTCATTTAAGCTCGCCTACAGTTCTACGTACCTTAAATTGTACTATTACGGGGATTCTTAGTTAGAATATCAATTCGAATACTTCTAATTATCGTATTTGCGTCGTGATGGAGTCAAATCTTGGAATGTTAGATACTAATTCAAGTGGGGATGACTTTGAAGACGACATTAAGCGGTTTGAAATCTGATACATAACTAGAAAAGATATTAAAAATGGTAAATTCACAGCTTATTTCCTGACGTTTATTGACAAAGGAGCCTATAACCTGCTAAAGAATATGGCCTTTCCAGATAAACTAATCTCATTGTTATATGTATCTTTCAAGGAATTACTACTTGGTCGTTTTTCAGTGCTAGCTTTGAGTGCAGAAAGAGATCAATGCGACTTTATACTTAAAGTACAGAATCAGACCACGAAGCGCAATTTCGGAGACCAATCGGAAACTCAACTTCGTGATCGATTGGTAGTTGGGATAAATATTCCGAATTTAGAAAATAAATTCAAAAGCCCGAAAGTTTATTCTAAGAAACTGACACACCATGTATTAACTAGGAGACAGTAAATGAGCTTGATTTCCAGTCAATGAAAGTTTTCAATACTTTACTCAGTCATCGTGATGAACTAAATTCTCAATGTCGCTCAAGCTTGCGTTTGTTTGATAGTTCCCTACTCTCATGGAAATATGAAACGCTTGATAACTTGTTAACTATGGGATCGAAGTGCGGAGAATTACACAACTCCAAAGCCCTCTCATTTTGATCCGCAAGCAAGAAATACCAAGATCTAGAATACAAACGTCAATCATATTACTGCTGCAAAATTCAAAGATCCTAAGAGGGGAGTAAATAGTCTTTCAGTGAAGAACTGCCAGACTGTACTCAAAAGAAACAATGATGAAATTGCTTGAGCGAAATAGTCATCCAAGAACTGATTTTCCGCACTTCACGAAAGGTCTGCAAAAATGGTCGATAAATCTATAGTTTAAATACAAACCAGTCACAACAACCGAATATTACAAGGGCCTAGTTGAGTCTGTTCTAATTCTCATTGTTAATCCTAATACTAATAAGTACATCCTAGATCCAAAACTTGTTATCCTAAATCTGGTTGGTTCGTTTATAAAATATAGTCTCGCCATCGTATCAACAACCGTTACTATATAATACCGCGATAGTCCTCTTAAGATTGAGAATCCTGCTGGCGCTCGGTTTCTTGTAATATTAAATTCTTAATATGACGATAAGTAGGCAAACAAAGCGAACAGATAGTAAAGTGAGGAAATAAACATTTGTACACGATATGGTGTAGTGTAAGCAGGTCAACGTACCCATTGAAGCACGTCGTAATTCTAAGGCTGCTACAATTATTTCGTTTTCATCAGACTGAGAACTAGTACTGCTTACATCTAGGACATCACCTGAGAAACCACCGTCATTACACAAATATATTATTAAGAATAGGTACAAGCAACAGATTGCGACCACTGCCGAATGAGCCTGTACTTTAATGTAAGTTGGTTGCATAATGTTCCATGACCCGTCAAATATCACGTGACAAAGCCACCTATCAGAATGCCGACTTCTATTACCTCGCCCCTGTGCTAAACTGATGATGCGTCAGACAGCACTAGCAGCCTTGAATCAACCCTGAGTCCCTATTGGTACTTTTCATAGCAATTATCCACCTAGTCTAGTCCCTTCAGTCCAGAACACAAATATCAACCTCCACTGCGTGGATCGTATATTTCAGACATATAAACAGACCAGACCTCACCACACAAAATAATGAAATAATAATAATTGTACAAGATCATGCCAAAGTTAGCTGTGTGTGGGATACTGAAACTGATAAATTGGGTGGAAGCTAAGAATGGCAAACCACAATGCAGTACACAATTGGTAATACGAAAGCTTGCGATTAAAGAAATACGGATATATACATACACAATTTAGTTACCTGGTAATTATCCAATAAAAATATGTATGACAATAACTCCCAGCAGTTATCAATCATTTATACTACGCTCAGGCATAACAGGTCGCAATTAAACTTGACGAGGATTGGTAAGCCGACCGATATTCAGTGACCTAACTACTGGGTTATCTGGCCAGCTATAATCATTGACATAATCCTTTCAACCAGCCTTATCCGTCAGAACCAATAAGGTCGATATCAAAACTAAATATCTAGGGCGATACTTATTCAGGGAAGTAATTTCTACATAACTACATTGTCTCATTCTTCAACCATTGTGTGGTATCACAAAAGTCCTGTCCCCTAACAACATAAATCTACGGACTTACTAGTGGTCTACCACTGACACTCGGCATCGTTGAATATTAGATTCCCAACATGAGGATAAGTAGGCAAACAAAGCGAACCGATAGTAAAATGAGGAAATAAACATTTTTACACGATATGGCGTAGTGTAAACAGGTCAACGTACCCATTGAAGCACGTCGTAATTCTAAGGCTGCCGCAATTATTTCGCTCTCATCAGACTGAGAGCTGGTACTGCTTACATCTAGAACCACATCACCTGATACACCACCGCGTAAATAATTGCGACATTGAAATGTTAAATGACCGGCTGTATCAGCCGTTAGTAAGTATGTTGCTGCTTACTAAATCCACATTTTTTACAGCCCACTCGAAAGTTCGTCCTGGATTCACGAGGTTTAGCTGCAAAATTATTGAAATCAAAGGTGGTACACTTACAATCCATTTACCCTGCTGCAATACGACAGGCGTGTCACAACCTCGAAAAGCAGTACAAACTCTTCCCGAATCCCAGGCTTTCTTCAACAGAAGTTTGTTCCTTTGGAACAGATTCAAGTTTCAATATCCAGTATTTTTGTGACGAGCTAAGATGGTTCAGCTGGCTAGTAATAAAGTGACTAATTAGGCACCTTGGTGTTTGAAACAACAAACTCATATGGTTCAAATGGTTGTGGACGGAATAGAAGCTTTCGCTTAACAGGCTCCCGTGTCTAGTAGCAGTGGATCACCAATACCTCCAGGCAGAAACCTAGGTATGTTAACGATAAAAGAGGAAAACGAAATTGGTAAGTCGTAGTATGACACTATTGTAGCGGTAAATAAATCCCCAAAATAAATAACCCTGTAAGTTTTCGATATTGGGTGCTGACCATATGTTTTAGTGGACTCATCTAGCTGAAGGCGCTCGGTCACGCATCCGCACCAGATCACGTGTGGTAACGCTGTGCTCAACATCTACCGCAATCGCTAGCCAGATTAGATGAGAGAATTCTGATATATTAGTAATCGCCAAATACACTCTCCCGATCTCCTCGACTCTGTCATTTGATTTCTCTCGGTGGGTACAAATTATATTAAGAGGTGTTGCTGGTAAAAGCGTTGTCAAACACTGAATACCTGTGCCAACTTCATTGGTGAGACCGACGTGATCTGGTACACCTAATTGCAACTGTGAGTCTGTTCCTTTTTGGGATTTTTACATATTATTGCCTTATTTCTTAGTTTTTATACATTGTGATACTTTTTTCCCCCGTGTCTCAGGATATCTATATTTTTTCCTCGTATTCTCGTACTTAATATTCCCCTATGACCGAACAGACTCCTAAGGTATTTAAGATTAAGACCACGTCTCCACCCTCGTTCCAACTCATGCCCTTCTGGCCCGACAATATCGAAGTTTGGTTCTGCTACGCAGAAGCCGACTTCCACGAGCACGGCGTGAACGATACACGCACAATTCCTCACAATAGTCAAGGCTCTACCGCGCGAATTCAACAGGTACGTAACACCTAGTATGTTTACTAGTGATGTTTCTGAACCTTACGAAACCTTAAAACGTTCGATTCTTAAACGAGGAGACCTAACCGATCGACAAAGGTTAGATCAACTCTTTAATAACATAGACCTGCAACACGGTTCTGCGACGGACATGTTGCAAACGATGAGAGAAGTGATAGGCCTAAGAACTTTCGACGAAGGTCTGTTCGAACATTTTTTCTTGTCCAAACTTCCCCGACAGGTGCAAGTGGTTCTGGTCTCGTTTCAGAACAACGCCTTAGACGAGCTGGCTGCATCTGCCGACCGCATTTTAGAAATTACGAAACCTTCTACTACCGAGGTATGTTCAGTCAAAGAAAAGCCTCAAACGACTCAGAATGATATAAACGACTTATGTCACACACTCACGCGTTATCTTAATCTTCGTACCGACCGTAGTCGCTCGCGCACTCAACGTAGAAGCATTTCACGTAAGCGATCTGTCTCTAGACCACGAGAGACAGATAACCCCGACTGGTGCTGGTATCATAACCAATATGGAAAGTTTTCCAGAAATTGCAGAAAACCCTGCAATTTTCCCAACACGAAATCGACTGACTCGAAAAACAACTTGGGAAACTTCCAAGCCGGCACGCGTCAACGGCAACCGTAGCCGGCGAACATAGCCGTCTGTCGTACGTCACAGATGTGACAACGAGAGTTCGCTACCTCGTCGACACTGGCGCAGAAGTCAGCGTTCACCCAGGGAATCTCAACGACCGGCTTAACGAATCGGCTCTAAACTTACAGGCGGCAAACGGAAAACCGATCGCTACGTATGGCAAAAGGTACGTTTACCTTAACGTGGGTTTACGCAAACCTATTCACTAGATTTTCTTTGTTGCAAATGTTTCTATGCCAAACATTGGTATGGACCTTCTACAACACCATAATCTAATCATCGATACGTGCAAACGGGGGCTTGTAGACGGAAACACTAATTTATCCGTTTGCGTAACTTCTTTTTCTGGATGCAGATTATCCCCAGTCACAATCAAGCATACGATAGACCCACTTTATCAACCACTACTCGATACGTATCCTGGCATTCATCAAACGCAACCAGCAACGTTACACATCACATCACGACCACACGACCACCTGTATTCTCTAAAGCACGACGACCAGCTCCTGAAAAGCTTAGGTAGGCGAAAAACGAATTCGACCATATGATAGACTTAGGAATCATGCGGCCGTCAAATAGCCCATATGCATCTCCGTTGCACATGGTCCCTAAAAAGGACAGCAACGATTGGCGTCCAACTGGTGACTATCGGCGATTGAATGCAAAAACCATTCCCGATCGTTACCCGTTGCCTCACATTCACGATTTGACAGCTACCTTGAAAGGTACCACTGTCTTTTCGAAAATCGACTTGGTTAAAGAGTATAACGAAATCCCTATGGCTATTGATGACATACCGAAAACAGCTATCATAACTCCTTTCGGACTCTATGAATTTTTGCGAATGCCTTTCGGTCTAAGGAACGCTGCTCAAACATTCCAAAGATTCATAGACGACGTTTTTCGAGGTCTCAACTTCGTACATGCGTATGTTGACGACTGCCTAATCGCAAGTCCGGACAGAGAAACACATCTCAAGCATCTGGATCTTGTTTTCGAACGACTACAAAAACATGGCATTACTGTAAACGTTCAGAAATGCCAATTCGGAACCGACTCATTAAACTTCCTAGGACACACCATAGATGCTGAAGACATTCGACCCCTTAGAACCAAAGTGGCGGCAATTCTGGATTACCCAGAACTGACCACCGTCAAGCAATTACGAACGTTTAACGGCCTCGTAAGTTTCTATAGACGTTTCATACCGAAATGCGCATTACTTATGAAACCTCTTACCGACCAACTTCAAGGAGATGCAAAATCCATCAATCTGGACAACACTGCACGAAAAGCATTCTCCATAGTTAAGGAACTCATCGCTAAAGCAACAATGCTTTCACATCAGAACACTCAAGCACCCATTAGCATCGCAGTAGAAGCATCCGACTCAGCAATCGGAGGAGTCTTACAACAGTGGGTTAACAACTCCTGGCAACCATTGGCATTTTTCTCTAAACGGTTGCTAGACACCGAATCGAGGTACAGCATATTCGGTAGGGAACTCCTAGCTATGCATTGTGCTGTACGGCATTTTCAACACTACATCGAAGGTCGTGAATTCACTCTTTTCACCGACCATAAACCGCTCACATACTCTCTAAGCTCTCCTTCAGACAAGTACTCTCCCCGTGAGTCTCGACAACTGGACTAAATTTCGCAGTTTACTTCAGACATTCAACACATCTCTGAAGCAAACAATGTAGTTGCAGACGCCTTATCTCGCATAACTTCTTTGAACAGTTTCCAAGGAATCGACCTTCTTAAACTCGCCCATCTTCGAAAGAAGACACTGACCTTCAGCACGATTTATCGTCTACAACACTCAAGCTACGCATCAAACAGATGGGAACAGGTAAGGAAACCTTACTTTGTGGCACATCTACAGATAGGGATAGCTCAATCGTGCCGAAACGTTATCGACACAATGTCTTCAACACATTACACAAACTTTCTCGTCCAGGTGTTCGTGCAACCATCAAGCTTATAGCAGAACGGTTTTGCTGGCCTGGCATGAATAAAGACGTGAGGGAGTGGGCACGCTCCTGTGTAATCTGCCAAAAATTGAGGTCTTCAGACACAATAAATGTCCCTTAGGCTCATTTAAAACTCCCGATGCTCGTTTCGACCACGTTCATCTGGATTTGGTACGACCTTTATCAGACTCAAATGGATACTCTTACCTCTTGACCTGCGTAGACCATTTCACTCGATGGCCAGAAGCAGTACCTACCAAGGACATCACTGCTGAAACAGTGGCTCGCACCTTCGTCGAACGATGGGTAGCAAACTTTGGCTGCCCTTCAACCATCACTACAGACCGCGTACGTCAGTTTGAATCTGAACTTTTCCGTCGTCTGACCACACTTTTAGGAACCACTTGCTTCCGAACGACTGCCTACCACCCACAACCAAACAGGTTGGTAGAACGCTTTCACCGACAACTAAAAGCTTCACTTTCAGCTGCAAACGTTTCACAGTGGACCGACGCTCTTCCACTCGTCTTACTAGGTATGCACAATGCAGTGAAAGCTGACATTGGATACACTGCGGCTCAACTGGTTTATGGAACGACACTTCGACTTCCAGGAGAATTCGTGGATCCTTCATCTTCTTCAATGAACATGGATCTAACCTACTACACGAACCGGCTTACAAAAGCAATGGGTTCAGTTAAACCTGCTTCCACTCGACCTCAATCAACCGATGTTTTCGTTCAACTTGACTTACGATATAGTACACATGTCTTCGTACGTCGAGACTCGCATCGACGACCATTCGAATCAGCACACGAAGGACCTTTCAAAGTTCTTCAACGCGAACCGAAGTACTATATAATTGATAAGAACGGAGCATCAGCATCGATCACCTCAAAGCAGCGTATTTAGAAGGAAATCCTATCTACGTCGATTTTCCTTCGGTACAATCGAACGACACGACTCCACTTATAATTCCTCAATCGACAACCAACACACGCGATGATACTCCGAATGTGTCTGAAAATAAACTTAAAACGACGCGTTCTGAAAGAAAAGTTAGATTTCCAGAACATTTAAACGACTATTGCACGTAAGGTACTACTAGACATTTAATATTATCTTGATCTTTCTTTTTACGATATATAATATATTCAAAAAGGACAACTTTAATATGCTTATATGTTTTTATTTTTATTTCAAAAAAAAACATTGTAAATTTTTTTAACGATATTACGTGTAAATTGGTTTATAGTCCAATTTTTTTCGACGACATTGTGATTTTACGCACATACGAGTGTATTTCGACATCCACTTACATTTTATTTTTTCCTTTCCAGGACGACGGGAAAAGAACGATGCAGTTTACGAGGAGTCGAAATTTTCGTTGTAACTCTTTCTTTTTTACTATGTTGTACCTCGGTCCCATATAGTAAGGAAAGACGACCAGACGCTGCTACACTTAGTAAGCTATCAGAAGAGTGTTTACCAACGACAAACTCGTTGGGTTTAAACTTCTGGCTGGCCACGTCTTAGGGTCATCACTAACCCATAAGGGGGGAGTGATCTGTAGCGGTAAATAAATCCCCAAAATAAATAACCCTG